TATATGCACGTTGTGATGCATCTGATAATGGAAATGAATTGTGGTGAGAAAATGTGGGTTATATGTATTCTATAACTGTATATATATAATTGTATGCATTCGTTATTATGATAATATTTCTCACCCTTCTGCTGGAATGATGTCCTACATGACATCGTGTAGGTATCAAGGAGTAGTACTACCTGTAGTTGCGAGGTCGCTATTGGTGTAGCTGTTTAGTGATTTAATTATGTTGGGTCGAGTCATGCTCTGGTCATGTAACACTGGGATCGCTTGGGTTGTGTTTAAGATATACATTATGTATTCTATAAACGAGTTTATATCCATTGGAATATTATGATGTTGGCCTTAGTGCTTAGACGATGTTGGTTTATGTGATAACGCAAATGTTTCTTTATAAAAATTATTATATGATTGAATCCGCTGCTACATGCAAGTGAAATCTTGAGAAGGCATGATTAATTATTAAAGTGTTTATGAGCATGACAGGTGTTTTGATGTTTTGAAATTATGTGTAATGCCCTTTTGTAAATGCATGAAAAATTTACTCTGATTATTCATATGTTTTTCGTGGGGTTTAGAAGGGTGTTACAAATAACACAGAGTTATTCTGATTCCTCTCACAACCTTTGAGTAATCCAGTCCCCATGTACTTACAAGAGATTTTCACTATAATCGCACAAGATTATAATTCTCTCAAGCACACAAGCAAGAGACTTCTTTTGCTCAAACACTCAAGTAAGATACTCTTATCCTCAAGCACACAAGCAAGAGAATTCCTTTTATCAAACAATCAAGTAAGAGACTTGTATGCTCAGGCACACAAGAAAACCTCCTTTGCTCAAACACTAAAGTAAGAGACTTCAAATGCTCAAACACTTAGTAAGAGACATCTAACAATCTACCTAACTGATAAATGATTGTTGGGAAAATACATTTGATATACAATAAAAGGTGTATAAAGAATGCAAAAATATACTCTTTTATGACTTAAGGATTTCTAAGATATACAATGATAAGAAATATTAAGTTCAACTTGTGATTTTATGTTGACAGAGTAACTTCTCTTTTTCTATCACTTGGCATATATTTCTTCAAGTATTTGTCTCCTTAAATAGAGAAGAAAAGATTCGTTGAAGATCCAGCATAATAGACTCCTTTGAGAAGCTTCAAAAGAGGTGTTGGGATGTTTCACCAAATAGTTAGAGTAGATGAAAGCTAGTTTGAAAACCCTTTACTACAAAAGGAATTAGCAGTTGTATTTCAGCATACTCTATGAATAAAATAGAGCTTAGGTCTTCACATGAAAAAGTATACTCAAAGGTTGATAGTGACCTTTTATAGTCACCTTGGTCCTTGCGTTTTGAATGACTCAAATTTCGACCATTAGAAGCATACTTCTTCAAAGTCTGGTCTTTAGAGGCTCAGACTCTGACCTTCAGACATTGACCTCTTCTGAATTTGACTTCTTCAGAGTCTGGATTTTAGCTTATGATCTATCAGATATTGGTCTTTGAGTTTCTCATTGAATGTTCATAGTCATAACAAATACTTGGATTCTATATGAAATTTTAGTCTATGGTCCTACACACTTGAACAAACACCAATGTACCTAATTATTCTTTAAATACTTTGTTATCATCAAAATCAAAGAGAGATGGGACAAACCAATTTTGTTCCAATAATCTATTGATGCATATTTTTGGCAAGAAGTTATTAACGATGAGAAAGATTATCTACAATCAAGATCACTAAATTCGAGAAGGAAATATCCTTGAATCCATCTCACTATGTGGGGAAGGTCCTAAAGAAATAGAATCTTTTTAATAGTAAACATGTTTACACGCTGTACGATCCTAGTGTTAAACTATTTAGGAACATTAGTGATAGTATTGAACAAACTAAGTATGTGAATATCATTGAAAGTTGTAGATATGTCCTTGATTGTGCTAGACTCGACATTGCATGCATGGTTGTCAAACTCGTGGGTAGACTCGTAAACTCGTACGAGTTGACGAGTCTAGGAAGCAAAAATGAGTAAACTCGTGCATAAAATCATTTTTTGATAGACTCGAGTAGACTCGGGTAGACTCTCACAAACTCGTATAGACTCGCGAGTCTATGGAAAGTTTATGAGTTTATAAGTTGTTTTGAATTTTGTTTTTTTGAAAACCCAAAAAAAGGCCCAAACTCCCCCAAAATTTTTTATTTTAGTTAAAAAAACCTTTTTTTTTGCTTGTACAAGAATGAGAAAACCTCTCTCCTAGAGTCTTGTTTTAGCAAAGTTTCTTCCTCCCTTTATCGACAATGTGCATTTGTTCTGTCTCTTGCTTTGTTCGCGTTCATTCCCATAAATCAATCATTCGTTATGTCTCTTGCTTTGTTTCTCTTGTATATTGTCTTGCATAAAAATTATGAATGGATAGCTGAAGATCCTAATGAAGAAATTATGCAAACTGAAGTTAATGTTGAGAAAGATGATGTTATTGTTAACAATGTTGTGGAAGTTGACGTTGTTGTTACTAATATTGTGAAATATGGTGGTGATGGTGGTTCCAATGTTAAATTAGCTAGAAGTGGAACATAAAGCAATCTAACTTTGGTTAATGATGAAGATGATGTTTCATCTGGGACAGAGTTTGATGATGATACTAAAGATATCGATGACGATGATGGTGATGATATTGGTGGTGATGATTTTACCAGAGCTTTGGATGTTTAAAACCTTTAGCATATTGTTTTATGATTTTTTGTTTGTTTTACGTAGTAGCCAATTAAGAAGAAATTAGTACTTTAAGTCTTTAACTACATACTTTTCTATTTTGTTAGTTTAATTATTGAGTTTTTGTTACGAAATTTGTTATGGAGTATGAAATTTAAAATTTGAAGTTAATTGGTGTTTTATTATATATATTTGCATCATATATGAGGCATTTACAAGTTTAAAAATGTGTGTGTGTGTGTGTGTAATGTATGTGTCACATGCAGGTTTTTGAAAGTCATTTTTAATTTTTCATAGACTCTTACGAGTTTGTGAGTCAAGTCTGCGAGTTGAGTCTACGGACCCTTTACGAGTTTGAATAGACTCGCGAGTTTGACAACCTTGATTGCATGTGTCGTAGAATTGTTGTGCAAGTTTACTAGTACATTAAGCAATAAGAATTGAAAAACTATTAAAAAAGTCATGTGATATCTTAAAAGGACCACGACGAGTCTCAATTTACATTATAAGAGATTTTCTGCTCTACTAAAAGGATACAAGAATGAAAATTAAAACAACTTATCAGATGATTCCAATGCAACTAGTGGTTATATATTCAATATAGTTGGATAAGTTGTATCTTGAAAATTAAAAAAGCAGACTATCTTGACTTAGTCAACAATGGAGCCTGAAATGACACCATTAGCAATTGCTAGTGAAAAAGCAAGTTAGTTGCTTGCTAGTTGAACACCCTTTTGTGGGAAAAACATATGTCAATTGTGTTGATCCATAGCGATAATGGTGCGACTATAGCAAAAATTGCGAGTTGATATTATAATGGTAAGATACATCAAATAAGAATAAAACATATCACTGCTAAATATTGTATCTCTTAAGGAGTTGTAAGGGTGGATCATGTATGCACTAATGAAAACTTAGTAGATCCTTTGACGAAATGACTAGCTAGAGAAAAAGCCAATAATACATCCAATAGGATGAGACTAATTCTTATAGATAAGTGAGTTGCTTACGAGGGTATCCTAACCTAAAATACAGGAGATCTCAAGAATTTGGTTTAATGAGTAATAAAAAGTTGTGAGCAATATAAGAGATCATGCTCGTATAAATAAAGACCTTTTCACCTCATATTTTGTAATATAGATTTTCGCATTAAATCAAAGTCGTCCTTATCTCTCTCGTCTTCATTTCATTTTTATGTTTTTCTTTTATGTTTCTGTGGCTATTTTGGTCATACACGACTGATATTTATCAGATACTATAGCTGATATTTATACCACATTTGACTAGTATATGTGACACTAGAGTGTATATTTCTAAATCGGTTATCTATTATGTTGTAGTAATTGTATAGATGAATACTATTTTTTATTCTTAATCAAAATAATTAATATTAATAACTATTGAATCACTTTAAATGATGACTAATTCAGATCTCTAAATTAATCCGTCGCAAGATTGAATATTAAAATTAAAAAAAAACTCAAATTTTAATATTAATATTTTAAAATCTAAATCATTCGATCTAAGATTAAATTGACTGACAAGATGTAGCGTGACTGCAGCTTTTCAAATGACCTAAAGATACAAGTTACAACCGACATAAATCCCTAAATTTGCAAGCAAAGAAAAGTGAATACACTCCTGTTGTCCTTGTACAAATATGTCCAACATAAGTGGAGGAAAAATGCCATGTGGTAACTAAGTAACCAATAAGAGCACAAAAAAGATAAGATTGCAACTCACAAAGCTACCATGGGGGTTTGTGCTACGGTCGGTGCCTTTATAATAAATCACAACTACTCCATGTGTTTCAAACAATATTCAATTCAATTGCTCCCATAAAAAAATACTTAATTTAATTGAAAATGCTCCAATATATAAAAAAAAATAAAATATATTTAATTCAATTACTCCCACTAAAAAATTACTTAATTTATTGAAAAATATTTTTAAAACTCTATTTAACCATAATTTAACTCAAATAATTTGACACCTACTATAGTCCATCTTACACGTTGTTAAAAGATTTCAAAATATAAAATATATTTTAATAATAGGGGTGATTTTTTCACAAAAGCCACCATATGATAAACAATAAAGAATCAAGAGAAAGAAACAATTTAAGAAAAGAAACAGAAACAAACAAAAGATGATAAAAAGAAAAAGAAAAGGTTGTTGACCCTTTACAAACCATATCTATTCTTCTTCTTCTTCTTTGTAATAAATTCTCATCTCTATTCTTCCTATTGCTTCCAATTTCAGCAACAACAATCCAAAAATGGAAACTCCAGAACCAGAAGGAGAGCTTCTGAAGAAGATTGAAAGGCTCGAAGCTGGTCAAGTTCACCTCAAACAAGAAATGTCAAAGCTTAAGCTTTCTCAACGTAGAAGGTCTCACTCCGTTTCGCCGCAACGTTCAAGGCTAGGTGCTTCTGCTGCTTCTTTTTCTGCTGCTGCAAATAACAAAGGCTCCTCTTCACCTCTTCGGAGAGAGAGCCGTAGTAGTAGTAGTCGTCATGATCCTCATCGTCAGAATGGTGGCAAGTATCTCAATATTTTGCAGTCAATTGGTCATTCTGTTCATATATTGGATCTTCATTGTCGTGTTATATACTGGTTAGTTAGTTATTGATTTTTTTGCTATTTGGGTTGTTTCCTATTTTGCAAATCTACATTAAAAAAATGTTTTTTTTGGTTGTTTTGGAAAAGGGGTTTTAGGGTTTAGTTTGTGTGATTGTGATTGTGATGGTGATCATTTTGTAGGAACCCTAGTGCTGAAAATCTGTATGGTTATACAGCAGAAGAGGTTCTTGGTCAAGATGGGATTGAAGTGCTTGTGGATTCTAGTGAATTTGAGTTGGCGAATGATGTATTCAACCGTGTGAAAATGGGGGAAAGTTGGACTGGTCAATTTCCTGTTAAGAATAAGACAGGTGATAGGTTTGTTGCGGTTGCGACAAATACACCTTTCTATGATGATGATGGGAGTTTGGTTGGTGTTATTTGTGTCTCGAGTGATTCAAGACCTTTCCTTGAAAATATAGTTCCGTTATCGGTTGGAAAGAATGAAGAAAAGGAGTCGGGTGTTAGTTTTTCTAGAATTGGCATTACTAATAAACTTGGTCTTGATCCTCAGCAGCCACTTCAAAATGCTTTAGCTTCGAAAATATCCAATTTGGTTTGTGTTTGTGTTTGTGTTTTTTTGATGTTTTTTTTTTTTTTTTTTAGGTTATGGTTTGTTTTGGTGTGTCTTGATGTTGTTGCAATGCAACTATTAAAACAGGCTTCAAAGGTGAGTAACAAAGTCAAGTCTAAGATTCGGACTCGAGAAAATGGTGCTAGTGGAGAAGGAGGAGAAACTGAGCATGGTTTTTCAGACCAGAGAGAGGATGGTGATTCTAGTGGAGCTAGCACGCCCGCCGGAGAGATGCCAGCATCTCCTTTTGGTGTATCTTCTCACGTCGAAGAGAGATCACCGGGGAAACCTATGAGAAACTCCGGTGATGAGAGTGAAGAAAAACCGCTACACAAAATCATGACTTCTAAGGCGGAAGCATGGATTCAAAAGAAAACTATGTCATGGCCATGGAAAACAAATGATCGGGAAGGATCCGAGTCAAAGAATGTTCGGGTTTCTTGGCCTTGGATGCAGGGTGATCAAGAAAAAGTGCCAGTTAATCAGAAGAATGTGTCTTCTGGGTTGAAGCTGGAAAGTCGGGCAAGTGAAAGTTATCAACCTGTTATTAACGAGGCTTCAGGATCATGGTCATCCTTCAATGCTAACAGCACGAGTAGTACCAGCAGTTGCGGGAGTGGCAGCGGTAGCAGTTCGGCTGCTAATAATAGAGTGGATGTTGACTCCGATTGTTTAGATTATGAAATTTTGTGGGAGGACCTGACAATTGGAGAGTCAATTGGGCAAGGTAATATTGAGTCATCAATGGTTATCATGCATCGGTTCCCTCTACATGTTTTCTATTAACCTTTCTATTTCTACCGTGCAGGTTCTTGTGGAACTGTATACCATGCTCTGTGGTATGGATCAGTATGTTCTTTTCTCGATCTTTGATTTCTTGGTTTTAAGTTCATTTGTTATCACATACACAACATGTTTATGTTTTTCAGAAATACTATTCGAAGTGTTATGCTGCTATTCTGTTTTTGTTATCTTCTATTCACCTTTCTACAGGATGTTGCGGTCAAGGTTTTCTCAAAGCAAGAATATTCAGAAGATGTAATACAGTCCTTCAGACAAGAGGTGTGCTCTTCGATAGTCTAATTTGCTTATTATGTTTGGAAATTGATTAAACTTCCCGTACTTTTCTCCTTGATTACATTATGTAACATTAATTTGACTATATATACTCTGTGGAAAGGTGTCTCTGATGAAAAGACTTCGACATCCAAATATTCTACTCTTTATGGGCGCAGTGACTTCACCTCAGCGTCTATGCATTGTAACAGAATTTCTCCCACGGTTTGTCCTGAAATTCATTTTGATATTCAGTGTCATGAGCATTCTAATTCTATTTAATTGTGCTATGTTTCACAAAAAAATTGATTTGTGCTGATAGCTCGCGTGTCTATTTGTGTTTTTATCAATTCAGTGGAAGTTTATTTCGTTTGCTCCAAAGAAACACATCCAAACCCGACTGGAGACGGCGGGTTCACATGGCCTTAGATATTGTGAGTACTTTGAAACAGAGTTATATACAAAATTCCGTAGAAAAATATTCATTCTTATGGTCCCGATGCTTACAATTTCTACAGGCACGAGGTGTAAATTATCTTCACCATTGCAACCCTCCGATCATCCACCGAGATTTGAAGACTTCAAATCTTCTAGTTGACAAGAATTGGACTGTGAAGGTCTCACACTTGTCTTTTTTTTAGTATTTCTTCACTTGACTATAGCATTTTTTTCTACTTAGATACACTTAATCATATATATATAAGCTTGTTCAGGTTGGTGATTTTGGTCTTTCACGTATCAAACACGAAACCTATCTCACGACTAAGACGGGGAAAGGCACGGTAGGCTCATGTTTTGTGTTTATTATACTTTTGGTCTGTTTGAAATAATTCCTTCAAATTGTCATAGTATGAAATTACGATTGTGTTTTTTTGAACAACCAAATTTTGATAACTTTTGAGACAAACAGCTGAAAATTATGATTAACCACATCTAAATTTGTGGTTAATGTCACGGGTTATCCTACTGATTCTCCTGCCATTTTTTGCTTTGTAGCCTCAATGGATGGCACCAGAAGTTCTTCGTAACGAACCCTCAAATGAAAAGTGTGTATACTATACCCATAGTCGCCTTCTCTCTCTTTCTCTCGTCAATATAGTTCCGCTTTTTATATATATTTTTTCTGCTTGGCGAAATCAGGTCCGACGTTTACAGTTTTGGAGTGATATTGTGGGAACTTGCAACTGAAAAAATCCCTTGGGATACTCTCAATGCAATGCAGGTACTGATTTCATGTGCGCACGAACCACGGAAATTTATAAAATTTAACATATGAACAAAGTGATGTTATAGTTAAGCTTATTAAATGAAAAACTGCAGCAAAATATATCATTATAATGTGGCAGTTTATCTTGTCATCTCATGCTCCAAATGCCTGTTATCATGTGCCACTGTCTGTTTCGAGCTTAGGAGGAATATATATATGAACAACACTTTCTCTGTTTTTCATCTTCAGGTTATTGGAGCTGTGGGGTTTATGAACCATCGGCTAGAAATTCCGGAAAATGTTGATCCACAGTGGGCTTCTATAATCGAGAGTTGTTGGCATACGTGCGATTTTCTTTGAACTCTGTTATGTTTCTAATTTATCATTTCTTTCCAATTACTCTAATATGCAACTTACAACTTTGTCTATCACTATCAGTGATCCGGCTAGCCGGCCAACATTCCAGGAACTGCTGGAAAGGCTTAAAGAGCTGCAAAGACGGTATGCGATTCAGTTCCAAGCAGCCAGATCTGCTGGTGGTGAAGTCACTCAAAAGGAATCCTAGCCATGCTAGCGAAAGGGTTCGAGAATTGTTTCTTTTTTGTTAGTTGTGGCTTGCTGATGCCAAAGGATTATTTTGCACATATCTTACAAAATCATTCCTTATGAGTAGATGAGTTGGTACGAACAGTTGGTCCTGGAGCTCCATAGCATTAAATCTTGCCAAACTATTGAAGTTATTTTGTGTGTTTACCATTGAAGATCTTAAACTTGATAGTGATGTTGAGTCTTATATGGAAAATGTTTGTACCACTTTTAATTGTACAGAAGGTAGAAAGGGAAGTAAAGAAAACTAAAGAGGTTTCGTTTTACTGCATAGAACTGGCACTTTTTAGTTGCATAATTCGTGTTAATTATCTACAATTACTTGGAAGTGGTTTGTGAAAATCATTGCAGCTTTATTGACCGATTCGTCTTTAAGATTTTTATTGTTGTTGTATGGAATTCTTCCCTTGCTCCAATTCAGCTGTGGTAAGTTAAGTGTTTGCAGAAATTGAAAAGTTAATACTGAGGATTTCAATAAACTAGTTAGTTATATGAATATGAATAAGTGAGCATACAACAATATAAAGGAATTATGCTTGTTATGTTTTTGTTAGGACTAATGAAAAGAATTATTTCCTAACAAAAGTATAGTGCAGTTAACTTATCATTTCAATAAACTTTTTAAGATAACTTGTAAAATCTACAGTTTATATGAAAATAATTTGACTTTTGTGCTAGAAACCGATTGTTATATTCATCCCAACTGAATCGTCCCAACTTTTGTGATATGAATAAACCCTTCCTGTCTTGAAAGACTGTTCCTGTAGGGGGGGAATAAAATCAAGTTTTAGGGACTTATGAAATTCATAGAGTGCAAGTCACAAAATAGTTGGATAGCCAACAAGCAACATAATTGAATGACAAGCGTGTATGGTTGTTACACATTTGAGTAGAAACTAGTACAGAGCTTGATGATGATGACAAACTATATTAATCCAACAAGCAATCACGCGAAGATCTTCGTGAATAACCAAACTCCCCCATAAGCTAGTGGGAGCTTCATTTGGACCACAAAAATTGAGGGGGGAGGGTTATTCCAATATCAACTACATAGTTCAGATTTCTAATGAACTATATCATCATCATAGTATTACATTTGAGATTCAAATTTCAATGCAAAACAGTAAATATAAGCCAATACAGATCATATTCCCTTGTTTGTTTCTACCACACTAGTGAAGCAAATGACGAATGGCAGCAACAGCATCACCTTTATGCTCACGCAGGGTTCTTTCAGCCACCTTTTTGTCCAACTGTAGCATAAGAAAAGTATGTTAGTTAATGGGAATGAAAGCTTTCTAGATAGATTTTGGTACATGTTGAGGAAGTTACCTCTAGTTCGTTTGCAATTATATCAACATCTGCTGTATTTATCTTAACAGCAGCAAGTTCTTTCTCCCTGTGATTCAATCAAAATGCATATCAAGGTTCAAAAAGAGAAGAAAAACAAATCACAAATGCAGGAGAAATGAAATGGAGCTTTCAATTCTATATAAAATAAACTTATGGGTCTTATGAATTTACATAATCATGTTTCACTTATGTTAAAATTAAAACTTCAGAAATAAGCAAGTACCTTGATATTTCTATTAGTAACACAAAAATTATATTTCCACATATATACAAGAACAACGAAAAGGTACAAAAGTAAAGCGCAAAGGAAAGGAAAACATAGATATTAAACATCAAGCATAGCAAACAGCTACATGCTTACACTTTTGTTACTCAAATGAATTATGAAATTATGTAAATAAGAACAAAGACACCTCCTATGCTTCCAGACCAAGGTTGTCATGATCGGGATCTTGCATCGTAAAACATAAGATCCTAATTAAGATCAGAAGATTCTACCTAATTATTTTTGTAAGATTGAGAGAGAGTAGCAAGATCGTAAAACATAAAATCGTAACAAAAATCGTAACAAAAATCGTAAGACACTACCAAAACGAAAAAATACTACTTTACATTTGAAGTGTTTTTACATGATATTTTGATAGACAAAGTGTACTTGTGGGAAAATGACCGCCGCCGAAGCATAATTGTTGCACCTTTGCATCTCATCATCCTTCTAGGCTTGTAATGGTAGTGACCGGAAAACGGCCGATCGTGGCCGAAACTGGCCAAGATTGCAAAAAATCAATGGTTTTACAATTTTTTCTACTTAAGTTTTGGATCGTTGTGGAAGACTGAGATCGCAAAATTGTAAGATTTTAAGAGTAGATTGAGATTTTGGCAACCTTGTTTCAGACAGAGTGAATCCTCAAGTTGAAGACTGGCACAGTTTTTGACTAGTATCTACACTAGCTTGTCACACACCAAAAACACTGGTAAATTTAAACCCTGCTTCCTATTTTCAATACTTTAATAGTGTCACCTTTAACCAAACCTACACATTACCGAGTGAATAGCCCCATCAAGCCAAAGAGTCTGATGGTCCTTCAGGACCATCAACTTTATTCAGTATGTAATTTACGCCTCCAAATTCAAAACTAACAATTTATCTCAAAATCTAATTGCAATAACCAAAACCCTTTTCCACATACCACAATTCACTGCAATCATAGAAGGATGCAATCGCATTCAATGAGTTATAGTCCTTACGATTAAAATCCAGTGGTGCAGATTTAAATTCCAATAAATAAATGAAAACTATGTCAACAAATCAACGGATATGATCACACTACACTTACCATTTGAGTGCAGGGAATCCCTTTCCCTTTCCCACTAGCTGGGGTCAGCAGTCGGCTTCATAAACTAATTGATGCCTTAACGCCCCTGCCATGGTCCAAAGACAAACTATTTACCACTAAATCTCTATGGTTTTACCTATAATTTTGTTCGACTTCCACTACCTAAAGCCCTTCCTTGTATCAAGTCCAAAGACAAACTATTTACCTCTATCTCTTACTATAAGACTATCTTCTATCTAGTCAACACTCCTCCTAAGTACTAACGGATCCTTACATAGGTTTTCTCTGCACATGTTTAAATCACTCCTAAGCTATAAAGACACCGACACTAACACGTTGAAATCAGTAATAAATTGAAAATAATGTATAAATTAATCGTAATCACATGTGCCAGTCTTGATTTTGGACACCGAAACCTACACCAACACACTTAAGAGCTCGAAAGTACTAACATGTTTCCTACAATGGGGACTTACCCTAACTCTAATCATTGAACTTCTATTCCTATTTTTTCTTTGTAGCCACTACTTCAAAATAAAATTTTCATCGCTACAGCACTAAAATTTTCTGTTAGCAAAATTTGACAAAAAGAACAGTTGATGAAAAAAACAAGAAAGAAATAGTTCTGATACCTCAAGCGCATGGCATTCCAATCAGCTTCAGCAGAAGCAGCAATGGAAGCCATGGCTTCTTGAACGCGAGTGGAATCAAGCTGGCGATCTTCGACGCGGTCAGTGAGTTTGTCGAAGGCTTTACTCTGCTGTTGCATGTCTTTAGAGTCAACTACCATCTCCAGAGCTTCGTCTCCACCCTCCATTTTCTTTTTCTCTCTTTTCTTTTCAACTTCTGATTCTGTTATTTCGCCCTAGAAAATTTCATAAACCAAATCAACAAGGTGAGGTTGCGTTTTTCTGTAATGAAAATGGTTCGGTCGAATTCTGGATTGAAATTGGGCTTTCTGGTTTCATATTAGATTTTGGGCCCGGCCCATTTTTCAATGGAAATTTCTTATCCCATCTTATGGGATGTAAAATATTAAATTATGGAAAATTTTTGATGTCCCTTAGATTTTGAAAAATATATTTTCGGATGCATCATGCACCACTTTATGACGCACAAAATGAGTGTCATTTTAGAGTGAGACAAATTTTATTTCGGAGATATATCTTTGAAAATTTTCAACAAATATATTAATATTTGAGTAGCCTAATTGATATTTTGGATATACATCTATAAAGATTTGAAGCAAGATTTTAAAATATCTACACCTTTGCATGTCTGATATTTTCGGAGATACATTTCTGAAATAAGTTGATAAAGCACTCACTTGCATGATCACAGACTCATACTTGTTTTTCACTCCAAACTCTTCCCAACAACTCTTTCATTCTCAATCAACATTTTCACTCCAATCATTATTGTGTTTTATCACATCAAAGGAAGAAAAATAAGCTGGAATTTTAGGTAAAGATCATTTATATCAAACCTCATTGCTCACATTAAGTTTGCTTTTAGTCTGAAAAATGTTCGTTTTATTTGGATATACATCTCCAAATTCTATATGAACTCGTCTGGAGATGCATTTCTATAGATCGTCTGGTATCCTTTTTTCAGCTCTGTTTATAATATTAGCACTTATTTAGTGTTTTATTATAACTATTTTCATTAGATATGGTGCACCTCGATATTTCCCCCAAACATGTTGTGTCTCTGAATGCCAAATATTTTATTGTGAATGAGGTAGATGTTGGCAACCAATTTAAAAATGAGCAAGAGTTTGAATCGTGATCACGTGCTTCAATAGATTCGTACAAAGACCTCCAAACTGGGATTTGGTGTGGTAATAGGGAGGTCTGATGATGTTTTGGATAAAGGAGGTGCATTTGTGGTAATGACATGCGAAAGAAGTGGAAAATATATACCTCATCTCTAGAATTTTAACAAGATGACACTAGTTCAAGAAAATGTGATTGTCCTTTTAAGTTGTGTGGTTATATGTTGGCAAATAAGAAATGGAGATTTAATTTCATATGTGGTTTACATATTTATGACTTGTGTGAAAAGTTAGTCGGTCATCGAATTATGTGTCGCCTCATGCCAGAAGAGAAGGAATGTGTTTCAGACATGACATTGAATTTGGTTCAACCAAAAAACATACTTACAACTTTGAAACGCAAAAGACCCGAAAATATCTCAAATATCAAGCAAGTGTACAATATTCGGTACCAAAATAAAAATACGCTAAGGGGGATAGAAGTGAAATGCAACAATTATTGAAACTTTTGGATGATAACAGTTATGTTTCCAGGTATCGAACGTGAGAGGATGAAGTAACTGCTAAAGAAAATCCACGCAAAAATGGGCGTCCCGGTGGACCACGCAAAAAGAAAAGGTCTAGGAAAAAATTAGGGACTAAGACAAAAGAAATAACCCGCTAAGTTAAAAACCCATAAGGGTAACTTAGGCAAAAAGGGGTATCCCGGTAGGCTGAAAACCTGAAAAAGGGTAGTCTATGCAAAAGTTAGGGATTCAAAAGAAAAAAACTGCATTATGAGGGGACATGTGAATTTTCCTCCTTGATCATTAAACTCCAATTGGGAGTAATCAATGCAATCGTTACACTCAAAAGCAAGACATAAAGGGTCTTCAGAGATATATGGGTCATAACACAATTGAAACTCGACAGGAACCGATTTCAACATTGCCTTTGCTATTTTTATCCATTTTCTTTCAAAGCAATGGCCTCTTTTAGGAATTGCCTCCTCTTGTAATTTTCCCGTTTATGGGTCTTCATCAATAAAGATTACTTTCATCAAAAAAAAATCTCTTCTATTGCTTACCATATGTTTGCAAATTTTGTTTTTATTGGTGATAAGTATTGCATATGATAATATTGTGATGGAAAGAAAGTAAGGGATTAATTCTCCTCTTAAGGTGTCTATAGGGTGACCATGACTCCAGGAAACATGCAGGAACACCATTTGAAACCGCGAAGTGACTTGGCTGAGACAAGAATCATCTAGCCCAGAAGAAACTAGCACAAAAATTGGAGTCCTAACATCTCTAAAACCTAGTGGCATCATGAAGAAGTGGTGTTGGGAAGTCAAGCTCGTTCCCCATCCAGTCCAGAGCCCAATTTTATTTGGCACCTTTTTTGTTGTAAAGCCGCTTTCAGTTGGCACTTCTTTGTAAAACCATCTCTAACTCATACTTTTTACTGTACATATCCCTTTCCCCCAACAAACCCAGTTACACTTGGCACGACCGTCACTCCAGACTCTCATATCCCCAGCATTTTGCATACATTTTTGCATCATTTGCATGCTTGTTTAGCCAGTTCCTATAGAAGATAGAGCATTCCTATGGACATTGCTTCCCCCGTCGCTTATTATTTGCGACTTCTTCTATGCCTTTTTTGCATAATTTCTTTTCACCTTACATTTTGTAAGACCTTCATTATCTTTTGCACGATATATCTCCTCTCTTACCTTATGTGGGGTACTTCATCGCCTTTTGTGTAAGATCTAATCCTTTTGTTGTCCTTTTGTGAGCGTCTTCGCTGTCTTTTACACACGACAAGACTTTATTTTGGGTATCTTCGATCAATTTGAACGCTTGATGCCTATGTGACCAAGAACTGAATGGTCACTACACAAAGAATGTCATCCCTGCCCTTGTGCTTATAAGATTAATGATATTCTGATACCTTATACAAGGGTGGTTATTTCCCTCGACTTACCTTTTGTGAGTTTTGTTCATATTGTCGTCATAAGATTTTTGACTTGTGCATTTTGCACCTTTCCATACCCGGCTGTGCCTTTTACACATTATCCTCAGCAATTCGTCTTTGCGTATTACGTTTTTCTCCCTGCAGAATATCCTACCTTTTGTATACCTTTTCCTTTGAACCTTTTGTTTTGATGTCTTTTTCTACCTTTTGTAGAAGAAATTCATTTACCTAAACCTTTTGCTCTGGTGTTTTTCTCTACCTTTCGTAGAAGAAATTTGTGTCTCCAAACCTTTTGTTCTAGAGTCCTCACTATCTTTTGTAGGAGGAGTTTTCTCCTAGCCTTTGCTCAAGAGCCTTTTTCTACTCATTGCAGAAATTTCCACGATCATTTCTTCCCCAGCGAAATATCCTTTACTTGCTATAGTAGGACCGTTTTCTCCAAACCTTTTGTTATAGGGTTCTTTCTACCTTTCGTAGAAGGAAGTTGCCTCCGAGCCTTTTGTTCTGGAGTCCTCACTACCTTTCGTAAAAGGAACTATCTCCTAACCTTTTATTCTGGAGTCTTTTCTGTTTTTTTTCCAGAAATTTATTCGACCGTGTTACCCAGAAAGGGGTTCCTCTATGTCATATAGAAGGAATTTATCTTTTCTCCAAGCCTTTTGTTTTGGAGTCCTTTTCGCCTTTCGCATAAGGAACCTTTTCTCCGAACCTTTCGTTTTGGGATCCTTTCTACCTTTTGTGGAGGGAATATTTCACTCTTTAATTAATGATATCTCTACCTTTGGTAAGAGTTATTTTATTGTATCCCCTGAGTCCTTGCTATCTTTTATCGAAGGAATATCTCACTATATACGACTTGAGTCCTCCCTGCCTTTCATAGGAGGAATATCTCTTAAACCTTATGTATCATCTGTTACTGCAAGGATGCTTCCTCTTTCATGATTGGAAAAAAACACTTGTGTTCTTTTGCATTGCATCTCGAGCATATCACCGTATATCCCTTATAACCAACCAATTCATCATATTACCATTTATCTTTTGACAGATGCCTTTTTCAAAGCCATAATGTTTCTCCATCCTGATGCATTCCATCCTTGTTAGCTGAAAACTTTAGGTATTCTTGTATTTAATTTCCTTATACCTTGACCCTGAGAAGGCCTTTGTCATACTCCCTTTCAAGTTCAAGGAGATTAAATAGAGGCATCTATCACACCCTCTTTTTCGCCTTAACCTTCAACCCCATATCATTATCATTTACATTGACATTTGCACCTAGCATTGGTCTTAGACAGGGATCAAGGTATCTTATCCAACAATTAAGAGAAGGGATTCATCTTCAAAGCTCAATCAAGAGATCAAGCTCAAATTTGTGGCAATCTCAAGTCACAAAGTCTCCATCATCATCAAGGCATGTCACTCAACCACTTGAATCAAGGATGCAAGCATTAATTCTTCTCCTCCTATCTCATGGATAACAAGTGAAAATTTTGGTTCAAAGGAGGCTTATGGATAGTTCCTTAGGCAAGACATAATTCCAGGGCTGAACACACACCTTAAGGGTTCCTTAAATGGATTATGTGTCATCACAAGCCATCACAAGAGCCTCAACCAGTGGAAATGGTCTTAGGATTTTATCTGGTCAACAAAAGTCAACTGTGATTCAATTAGGTCAAGATCTTGAATTTCAAGGCCAATCAAGGGCATGATACTTGTTTCTAAATGATTTCATGATTTTGGAACAAGAAGAATCAAGGAGAAACATAAAATCAAGAGTTTGACTAAATTAGGGTTTTGATAGAAATTATTCTAAGTGTGAAAAACCCTAATTCTAGCAATCTTGCAACTCCCATAACTTTCTCATTTTTGATCCAATGAAGGAAAAATAGCTATCAAATTAAAGAGGACATCATGAACTAAAATTTTGTGGAAGAAAGCATGTCCAAACTATTCATGGTTTAGGAGAATTATAATAGAAATTCAGTTTGAAGTAACTACTTTCAAGCTCATTTTTCATGGTGATACAAGCTTCATTTGAATTTTCCTACAGCATGAGAATTGTAGAGCATCCTCTATGATTTATTTTGAGT